TCTGATACATACATTATAACTTCAAACTCATAGAAAGTATTGTATCGCTGACAAGGTATCTAAAACACACTATCTTCAATTGATCATAGAATAGCTTCACACTTAAAATGCTGCTTTCAACTATATCATATCTCGTTAATATTGTATTCCTTTTCGTGTTTGATAGAACTAAATTTTGAACCAAACTTAACCGAGAACTAAAAAATTTTGATGATAAGTTCAATTCTCTCTGCCTCAGTTTCAACTATCTGCCCACTTTCAGTTTATCTTGCCAATCTATGTGCAAGCCAAATAGAAAAAATCAAAAGCAACCATAAATAACACAACTTTTACACAAAACAAACAGACCCAGATAAATTAACAAACCTGTTGAAAACTCTTGACAGTCTTTCCAATACTCCTCCCAACCTCCGGCAACTTCTTGGGCCCAAACACCAGGGCAGCCACACCAGCGATCACAACCAGCTCAGGCACACCAAGACCAAACAGAGCATTGCAGGTGAAACCCTTTCTGGCCGGTCCGGACCCGGTTCTGGTTCTCGGTCGAACTAGAATCAAAGAACTGGCCTTTGTCTTGGTTCTGGTGAAAAGAGCAACAGTGGTGGAGTTGGTGAAGAAGGAAGAGTGAGAAGAAGATAAGGGAAGAGAAGGTAATGATGGGGGTCTTGAAGGCAAGAGAGTAATAGACGAAATCTCCATGGTAATATTTATGAGTAATGTGGTCTGGGATCTTCTGGGTTTGGATTTGGGCAAGAAGATGGATAACAGTTAGGAAGAAGAAAGCTACGAATTGGCTGGAAATTTTTTGACTTTATATGGTTTTGGACCAGGAAAGGAGACTTTTTTTTTGGGCTAAATTATTTTGTAAATTTCAATTTTATTTTTTAGGGCAAATTTTTGCTTTCTAAAAAACTAATATTTATAAAAATTGCATATTGTGAGGGAAATAACATGTTTATTTTGAGGGAAATAAGGAGTTACTTGTTGATTTCTTCTTGGAGCTATTCATTTCACTTTCATATATAGAACCTTGAATTTCATGCCATTATTTTACTATTCATTTGAGTTTGAATTTTTATTATCATTTTAAATGTTTAAATTATGAGTTATTTTGCAATTTTTTTTGTTATAATATATTAAGTTTAACTATTAACTGTTAATAACTTTTAAATTTTATAAAAAAATAAAATATGGGTAAAAAAATGAATTTTTTTTCAATAATTATACACAGATTATCAAAACCAACTGAATGCATATAATGGCAGAAAGAAGATAGAACAAACCCATAATGAAGCTACTCAGAAAAAATTTATAACTAAACTGATTAGCAGTTTCTTCCAGCTAGGATTGAGTTGAAGATTGAAATGTTACAGTTCATTCACATTTAACACAAAAGAATAGGCTTTCTTACATACAGTTGACCTAAAAATGGTGAATGCCATCAGATCAGTCTTCAGAAATCTTTTCACTAACTTCTATAGGGTCATGCTGTTATCATCACTGCTCTCCATTTGACTGTGGGCCACATGGACTTACGCCTCCGCGAATTCGCTTTTGCAAATGCTCCAAACTTGCTACTCTCTGCATGGAAGCTGTTCGTCCAATCTTGTTATCTGCAACTGCTACTGTCCCAGAATTTGGCTGCACGGTTTCAACTGAAGAAATATCTGCCAAGCCATTGTTGACTCTCAGGTCCTGAGTTGCTACTGAACTAGTTGAGGCGGACTGAAAAAAATGATGCTTTGAGTCATCTTGCACAGGAACAGAAGGGTCTGCAGATGTGTCAGAAGGACTACCA